TGTTGTATCCATAGTTGGTATGGGAGGCATAGGCAAAACTACTATGGCAAAACTAGTGTACAACAATGAGCTGATAGAGAAACATTTTTACAAAAGAATGTGGGTTTGTGTTTCTGAAAATTTTGATGAGAAAAAAATATTAGCAACGATGTTGAAATCTCTCATCACTAATGAGGAAGGTCATGTGAATTTTGAAGAGAAAGCAGCTATAGTTCAGAAACTTAAAGAAAAGTTTGTGCAGAAAAACTCTTCTGAAAAGATTGAGGAGAAAAACTCTTCTGAAAAGATTGAGGAGAAAAACTATCTCCTCATTCTAGATGATGTATGGAATGAAGAAAAGCCAAAATGGGATAACTTAAGAAATTGTTTGTTGGGAATAGGCAAAATGGGTGGGAGTAGGGTTCTTGTCACAACTAGAAATGAGAAAGTAGCTTCCATAATGGGAACCAAGAACATGCATAGTCTTGCCAAGCTAGAAACGAAGGATTGTTGGTCTATTATCAGGCTTAAAGCATTTGGCAACTCTCCTAATTCTTCGGAATTGGAGGAATTGGAAAGTATTGGAAGGAACATTGCTGAGAAATGTAAAGGTGTGGCATTAGTTGCAAATGTTGTAGGGGGGACATTGTGCAATAATATAAACAAAGATTATTGGACATCAATTAGAGATGATAAGGAAGTATGGGATTCAATAGAAAAGGCTGATGGAGTTTTGCGTGTATTACAATTAAGTTTTGATCGGTTGCCAATACCTGCTTTAAAACAATGTTTTGCTTTTTGCTCTATTTTCCCCAAAGACTTTGTCATGGAAAAGGAGATGTTAATCCAGCTCTGGATGGGTGAAGGATATCTTCAACCATCTAGAAAAAGCTACAAGAAGATGGAAGATATTGGTGGCAAGTATTTCAATGACTTTTTCTCATACTCCTTATTTCAAGATGTAGTAAAAGACTCTTATGGCAGTATTATTTCTTGCAGGATATCTTCAACCGTTTAGAAAAAGCTACAAGGAGATGGAAGATATTGGTGGCAAGTATTTCAATGACTTGTTCTCATACTCGTTATTTCAAGATGCAAAAAAAGACTCTTATGGTAGTATTATTTCTTGCAAAATGCATGATTTAATACATGATTTAGCACAATCTATTTCAGAGTCTCAAACGTTGATTTGGGATCGTAGTAGTAGTAGTGATACTCCTGCAAACATTCAGCATTTGGAGGATGGTAGTAGTGATATTCCTACAGACATTCGGCATTTGAATCTAATTTCTAAGGAGGGTATGCCAAAAACAAAAATAGGGGAACTGCGTACCTTGTTTTCATGTGTTGATGTTTCTCAAAACAAGCTTGAAAACTTTATAAAGGTGCGAGTTCTCAGTTTTTGTGGTGCTAACATTGATGAGTTGCCAGCTTTTTTGGGGAAAATGAAGCATTTAAGGTTTTTAGATGTTTCAGAAACTAAAATCAAAGAACTTCCCAAATTCATCACTAAGCTCTATCATTTGCAGACATTTAGATTTATGAATTGTGGGGAAATCAAGAGGCCTTTGAATGGAATATGGGATTTAGTCAATTTGAGACACATTTATTTCAATGATGAAAAGCTTATGCCAGCTGGGATTGGTGGATTAACTTGTTTGAAAACATTACAATTATTTGTTGTGGGCCAACAAAAGGGACATCAAATTGAAGAATTGGGATGTTTAAGCCAACTCCGAGGAAAATTAGAGATTCGTAATTTGGATAACGTTAGAGACAAAGAAGAAGCCATGGGAGCAAGACTTTTTGAAAAGGGTACAATTCAGGAGTTGCAATTCCAATTTGGTGGGAAGTCTAATCTTAGTGAAGATAGATGCAAACAAGATGAAGATATCTTGGAAGGCCTCCAACCTCATTCAAATTTGAAAGGCCTGACCATTGAACGCTATTGTGGTAAAAGTTGTCCTTCATGGATGTTAGAAACAAAAAATTTTCTCAAAAATCTGATGTTCATGACCTTTTCTGCATGTCCTTGGTTGGAAAGCATTCCATCACTGTCACTCGACGAGGAAGCAAAGGTGGAAATTAATTATTGCAAGAATTTGAAAAGCATTGCAGATTCGTCCCTTCAAAAACTCATCATTAAGAAATGTGAAGAACTGGTTGGGGTAGAGGTTGGACCAGTTGCCAGGAAGTCTCTCAAAGAAGTACACATAAGGAGTTGTGGTAAATTGGTAAATCTTCCGATGATTAGTAAATTACAATCTCTTGAGGTACTTGAACTTCAGCATTGCAAGGAATTGAAGATGATTGGAGATGATGCTCCATTTAACTCCACGTGTCTACAAGAGTTAAATATTCAGGATTGTCATAGCCTGATGTCCATGCCCAGTGTAGATGGGCTGTCCTCACTTCAAAAAATTGAAATAGGCTGGTGTGGGCAATTGAAAAGCATAGGAGAGGATTTATCTACTGCCACGTGTCTCAAAGAGTTGACTGTATGGGAGTGCAATGGTTTGATGTCCTTTCCGAACCTCCATGGGCTTTCATCTCTTCAGACTTTATGGATAAGCGATTGTGGTGGATTAAGAAGTTTGCCGAGTGGGTTGCCATCATGCACTGCTCTTGAGGATCTGGATATCTCCTACTGTCATAATCTAATCTCTATTCCAGATGATTTGAGGAGCATCCCTAACCCTGCCTGCCTTGCTTGCCTGAAGAAGCTGACTATTGGTGGTTTCTCAACAGAGCTCAAGGAATTTCCAGATCTGGGCTTCATCAGATCTCATCTTGAAGGATTGACTTTGATTGCATGGGGAGAACCAAGAGAACGTCTGCTGGATCAAATTCAACACCTAACTGCCCTTAATTCTCTCGCAATAAGCGGTTTTGATGGACTGGAAGCTTTGCCAAATTGGTTTGGAAACTTATCCTCTCTTCAAACTCTGCGAATTGACAATTGCAAATCTCTGAAACATATGAAAGCCATCCGATGCCTCTCCAAATTAGAAAGCCTTCTTATTTATGGATGCCCTGAGTTAAAGGAAAGATGCACTGAAGGAAGTGGTTCCGAGTGGGACTACATCTCTCACATTCCAGAGATCTACATAGAGGGCAGATGGATCCAAAGCAAAAGAGGATACAATTTTAAAAAATGAAGTTGCTCAAACAAGTATTGTGAATGCATGCAGGTCTGTGAAATGTCAATTATCTCATTATGTATGATTTATTTATCTGATGTGTAGATAATATATGTTGTGTATAAAGTCTGCATCATTTTGCAGGCCTCTAGTTCTTCAAATTAACCTGCAAGCAATCAGGCTCTAAAACCATATGTGATGTTGGTGACACCTTGCAGAAAAGCCAAAGTGCCAAGCACAACAATCATCTCAAAAGCCATGGACACCTTTTGATTTTTATAAGATCCATACATGAATTCAGGTAAGCTGTGCTTCCTCATAAACATTTCCTTCAAAATTTGACTGCATCTCTATGATCTGATGCATTCTTGATTTAAAATTTTGTGAGCCTCATTGCTTTTCACTTTTTCTTTTTTTTCTTTTTTTTGTAATGTTATACTTTGGTTAGAAGTATTTTTTTTTTTTTTTGATTAATCAAATGATTGGTGTTTGACAACTTATAATTTTCATTTGGTACTAACTATTTAGTTCCTTATTGCATGCCTCTAACACATCACTTCCCATTTCTTAATATATATATTTGCAGACTTGTAATTATAATAGATTTTGAATTCAAACTTGGAAGAATCTGCAACTAAGGGGATTCAGACCATGGAGATAGAAATGGAAAACAAGCCAGTGTAATTTACTTTTGAATTTTTTGTTCATTTAAAGCATTGGTTTTTCTTTAATTTCTAGATTGATGTTTGTGGTTATGATCTAGATTGTTGGTCGTTTTAATTTGTCCACGGGAATACAAAACATGGATTGGAGTTCTATTAGGTGTTATGGTTTCAATAGGGTTTGATTGCTGTAATTGTAGGCCATCCATTGGCCTTGAAACACCTAACAAATGCTGATTGAACGAACAAAAAGCAGTTAGAAAGGCACTGTCATCAAGAGAAATTAAGAATGATTCTGGTATGTTCCCTGAGTCTCAAGCATTTAAGCATGGGCTTTCTGATTTTTTAATCTTTTGTTAATTAGTACAATGAGCATAGTCTTATGGTAAAACT